CGGGCGTTGGTGGTGCCAGTGCGGGCGCCAGCGTGAGAGCTGGCCACGGTACTGGCTTCGGTGCTGGTGTAGGCGCTGACGACGGTGCCAACGTAGGCGCTGGCGTCGGTGCTGGCGTCGGTGCTGGTGTAGGCGCCAGCGTTGGTGCCAGCGTGGGTGCTGACGTTGGTGCTGGCGTCGGTGCTGCTGCAGGCTCTGGCGTTGGTGCTGGCGTAGGCGCTGGCGTTGGTGCAGGCGTAGGCGCTGGGGTCGGTGCTGGCGCCGGTGCTGGCGTCGGTGCTGGTTTAGACGCCAGATTTGGTGCTGACGTCGGCGCAGGCGTTGGCGCTGGCGTCAGTGCTGGTGAAGGCTCTGGCGTTGGTGCTGGAGCAGGCGCTGGTGCGAGAGCTGGCCACAGAGATGGCGTCGGTGCTGGTGTAGGCGCTGGCGTTGGTGCCAGCGTAGGCGCAGGCTTTGGAGCTGGCGTCGGTGCTGGTGTAGACGCTAGCGTTGGTGCTGGCGTCGGCACTGGCGCTGGTGCTGGCGTCGGCGGCGGTGTAGGCGCTGTTGGTGCCAGCGTAGGCGCCAACGTCGGTGCTGGCGTCGGTGCTGGTGTAGGCGTTGGCGTTGGTGCCGGCGTAGGCGCTGGGGTCGTTTCTGGCGTCGGTGCCGGCGTCGGTGCTAGCGTAGACGCAGGCGTTGGTGATGGTGTAGTCGCAGGCGTTGGTGCTGGCGTTGGTGCTTGCGTAGGCGCTGGCGTTGTTGCCCGTGCAGGCGCTGGCGTGAGAGCTGGCGTCGGTGGTGGTGTCATCGTTGGTATAGGCGCTGGCGACGGTACCGGCGTAGGCGGCGTATGCGCGGAAGTTGGCGTTAGCGTCGGCATTGGTGCGGGCGCCAGCGTTGGTGCCAGTGTAGGCGCCGAAGTCGGTGCTGGCGTCGGTGCTGGCGTCGGTGCTGGTGCAGGCGCTGGCGTTGATGCCGGCGTATGCGTGGCCTTTGGTGCTGGCGGCGGTGCTGGTGTCGGCGCCAGCGTTGGTGCCAGAGTTGGCGCTGGCGTCGGTGCTGGCGTCGTCGGTGCTGGCGTCGGCGCTGGCTGCGGTGCTGGCGTTAGTGCTGGCTTCAGTGCTGGTGGAAGCGCCGGCGTTGGTGCTGGCGTTGGTGCTGGTGTAGGCGCTGGCATTGCTGCCCGTGCAGGCGCCGGCGTGAGAGCTGGCGTCGGTGATGGTGTCATCGTTGGTTGTAAGCGCTGGCGTACCGGCGTAGGCGGCGTATGCGCGGAAGTCGGCGTTCGCGTCGGCACTGGTGCGGGCGCCAGCGTTGGTGCCAGTGTAGGCGCCGCAGTCGGTGCTGGCGTCGGTGCTGGTGCAGGCGCTGGCGTTGATGCTGGCGTATGCGTGGCCTTTGGTGCTGGCGGCGGTGCTTGTGTCGGCGCCAGCGTTGGTGCCAGCGTTGGCGCTGGCGTCGGTGCTGGCGTCGTCGGTGCTGGCGTTGGTGCTGCTGCAAGCGCTTGCGTTGATGCCAGCGTAGGCGCTGGCGTTGGTACAGGCGTGGGCGCTGACGTCGGTTCTGGCGTTGGTGCCGGCGTCGGTGCTGGCGTAGATGCTGGCTTCGGTGCTGGCGTAGGCGCAGGCGATAGTGCTGGCGTCAGTGCTGGTGTAGACGCCAGCGTTGGTGCTGGTGCAGGCGCTGGCGCGAGACCTGGCCACGGTGCTGGCGTCGGTGCTGGTGTAGGCGCTGACGACGGTACTGGCGCAGGCGCTGGCGTCGGTGCTGGCGTCGGTGCTGGTGTGGGCGCCAGCGTTGGTGCTAGCGTAGGCGCTGGCGTCGGTGCTTTCGTCGGTGGTGGCTTCGGTGCTGCTGCAGGCGATTGCGTTGGTGCCAGCGTAGGCGCTGGCGTTGGTACAGGCGTGGGCGCTGAAGTCGGTGCTGGCGTCGGTGCCAGCGTCGGTACTGGCGTAGACGCTGGCTTCGGTGCTGGCGTAGGCGCAGGCGATAGTGCTGGCGTCAGTGCTGGTGGAGGCGCTGGCGTTGGTGCTGGTGCAGGCGCTGGCGTGAGAGCTGACCACGGTGCTGGCGTCGGTGCTGGTGTAGGCGCTGACGATGGTGCCGGCGCAGGTGCTGGCGTCGCTGCTGGCGTCGGTGCTGGTGTAGGCGCCAGCGTTGGTGCTAGCGTAGGCGCTGGCGTCGGTGCTTTCGTCGGTGGTGGCTTCGGTGCTGCTGCAGGCGATTGCGTTGGTGCCGGCGTGGACGTTGGCGTTATCGCCGGCGTAGGCGCTGGCGTCGGTGCTGGCGTCGGTGCCAGCGTCGGTGCTGGCGTCGGTGCTGGAGTAGACGCTGGCGTTGGTGCTGGCGTGGGCGCAGGCGTTGGTGCTGGCGTCAATGCTGCTGGAGGCGCTGGCGTTGGCGCCGGTGCAGGCGTCGCCGTGCGAGCTGGCCACGGTGCCGGCGTCGGTGCTGTCAGAGCTGGAGTCGTAAGTGGCGTCGGGGCAATCGGAGCTGCCGTCATTGCTGGCTTCGGTGCTGATGGAGGCTCTGGGGCCAGCGCAGGTACTGGCGTGGAAGCTGGCGCCGGTGCTTCCAGAGCTGGAGTCGTAGCTGGCTTCGGGGCAGCCGGAGCTGCCGTCGTAGCTAGCTTGGGTGCTGGCGGAGGCTCTGCAGCTGGCGCAGGTACTGGCGTCGTAGCTGGCGTCAGTGCTGTCAGAGCTGGATTCGTAGCTGGCGTTTGGGCAGTCTTCGGCGCTGGAGTCGGCGCTGGCGTCGTAGCTGGAGTCGGCGCTGGCCTCGTAGCTGGCGTCGTAGTTGGAGTCGGCGCTGGCGTCGTAGCTGGCGTCGGTGCCGCCGGAGCTGGAGTCGTAGCTGGCGTCGTAGCTGGAGACGGCGCTGGCGTCGTAGCTGGCGTCGTAGCTGGAGTCGGCGCTGGCGGAGGCTCGGGAGCCAGCACCGGTGCTGGCGCCGTAGCTGGCGTCGGTGCTGCCAGAGCTGGCGTCGTAGCTGGCGTCGTGGCTGGTGTCGGCGCTGGCGTCGCAGCTGGCGTCGCGGCTGGTGTCGGCGCCGGTGTCGTAGCTGGCGTCGGTGCTGCCAGAGCTGGAGTCGTAGCTGGCGTCGTAGCTGGAGTCAGCGCTGGCGTCGTAGCTGGCGTCGTAGCTGGAGTCGGCGCTGGCGGAGGCTCTTGAGACAGCACCGTCGCTGGCGACGTAGCTGGCGTCGATGCTGCCAGTGCTGGAGTTGTAGCTGGCGTCGTCGCCGGAGTCGGCGCTGGCACTCGACCGATATGCTGCTCGACTCCGTCGTGGCAGACGCCGTAGTAGAGCTTGACTCCATAGAACTAATTACCGACGTATTGTTTGACTCCGTCGTTGCGGACGTCTTGTGCGGGGTTGGCCCCATCGGAATCCTGAGGCGAATCTGGCCGTGACGACGAAGGATGTTTTTGAAGCAAGTGGGTCGGCTCGGATCCCGTCCGACCGCCCTGGGAAGCCGAACACGAAGGCCCCTCTCCACCAGCGAGGGCGCCCCTTTCACCAGGCGGGCCGACCTGTACTGACATCTGTTGAGACAAGTGGGTCGGCTCGGATCCCGTCCGACCGCCCTGGGATGCCGAACACGAAGGCCCCTCTCCACCAGCGAGGACGCCCCTTTCACCAGGCGGGCCGACCTGTCCGAATCGGTTATCTTCATCTTCCCCCTGGTCATTTCCACCTGGAATCGGCGCTGGCGTCGAAGCTGGAGTCGGCGCTGGCATCATAGCTGGCATCGTTGCTGGAGCCGGCGCTGGCGTCATAGCTCGGATCAGTGCTGCCAGAGCTGGATTCGTAGCTAGTGTCGAAGCTGGAGTCGGCACCGGCGTCGAAGCTGGAATCGCCGTACTGCGCATTGACGTGGTGCTCCCGCGAAGAAGATCTCCTGCGCTGGCAGCGCGCAGGTGGCCCACAGCACGGCGGTCCAGACGAAGCGGCACCACGGGCGAGCGGCAGGCCGCGCGGCGTGCTGCGCTGCGCCCTCATCCTCGTCCTCCTCGCCCTCATCCGCATGCTCGTCCTCGTCCTCGTCCTCTGGGCTGCCTGCCAGCCGCCTCCTCCTCCTCCGCCTCGTCCTCATCCTCGCTGCCTCCTCCTGACCTCCTCTGCTCTGCTCTGCGACCACCTCGTGGACTCCTGGCGGGTCTCCTTCCGCCAACTGGGACCGCGCCGCCATGGGACGGGCCCGCCCCGGGCGCGCCCCAGCGCCTCCAGGCCTGCCCACCCCGGCCCGCGGCTCCCCGCGCCCCGGGCCGCGTCGGCCGCGCCCCCGCCGCGGCCGCGCCCCATCCGCCTCTCCTGCCTTTCTCCTCGCTCCTCTCTTCTTCTCCCCCTTTTCCTTTTCCTCCCTCTCCCCTCCCCTCCCCCCTTCGCCCTCCTCTTCTACTTGCCGGCGCCGTCCTGCCCTTCCATCATCCTCCTCCCGTCCTCCTCCTTCTCCTCCTCCTCCTCCTCCTCCTCCTCCTCCGTCCTCGATCCTACACCTTCTAGAATCTCTCAGACCCTCTGAGACCTCCCAGAGCCCCCTCAAGCACTCCTCGCCCTCGTCCTCGTGATTGACGTCGTTGTCTTCCTCCTCGACATGGTCCTCGTCCTCCTTCGCGTCCTCGTCGTTCTCGTCGTCCTCGTCCTCCCCGTCGTCATCATGTCGTCTTTGTCCTCGGCATCGTCGTTACCATTGTCCGTGTCGCCGTCCTCGCCGAAGGTCTTCCATGGCCTCAGTAGGTCCTGGGAGGCCTCCTGAGCTTGCCACAGCGTCTGGAGTCCTCTGGAGTACAAAGGAGACAATAACCGCACAAGATCGCTCCTGGATCCTCGCCGCCGTCGTCATCGCAATCCGCTCAAAATTGTTCTCCAGGCTGTTCCCGTGGACAGCCCGTCGTCGTCGACGTCGTCGCCGTCGCCGCTGATCGCCCGTCATCGTCGCCCGTCGCCGTCGCCATCGGTGCCGTCGTCGCCGTCGCCGTCGTCGCCGTCGCCGTCGTCGGTCGGCGGGGGTCGCAGGCCCCGCCCCGCGGCGTCGCGGGCCCGCCACGACGCCGCGGCCTTCCTGTGAGCCTCAGCCGCGCCGCGCCGCGCCGCGCCAGCCGCCCGCGTGGCCAGTCGAGGTGCCGCCAGGGGCCGGGAGCGACAGAAAGGTGCTTCCGCGCGGGCGGTCCCGAGCCTCGTGCTCCTGTCCGCGGCCGCCGATGGGGCTCCTCCGAGGTGCTCCGCTCCTCGGCCTCGGTCCTCGGTCCTCGCAGGCTCCCCCGCGTCCTCGGTCCTCGGTCCTCGGCCTTTGGTCCTCGTCCGCATCCTCCAAGTCCTCGGTCGTCATCCACGTCCTCGGTCCTCGTCCACGTCCTCGGGCCTCGTCCACGTCTTCTCTGCCTTCAAATTACCATCCGATCGCGAGTGCGACAGCCTTCTGGCTGGTGCCGCCGACCCTGACGGGGGACGACGACGACGACGACGACGACGACGACGACGACGACGACGACGACGACGACGACGATTGAAATTTTCATTTAAGGGAAATCATTGAGGTTGCCAAGTTGGGGTTCTCTCGGGGTGCATTTGGGGCTGTCTTGGACCTCTTGGGGGCCTCTTCGGGGCTTCTTGGGTGCTTCTTGGTGCCTGGAGGTGGCCTCTGTGGCGGAAGGCTCGAAATTGGCTTCAGGCGCACAGTGGGCCTGGTGGATTTCAAAGGTTCATTTTCTGGCATGGGACTCCCGTGGGGGGTGCCTCTTGGGCCATTTCAAAGCCATTCCTCCTCTTCCTCCTCTTCCTCCTCCTCGGGAGAAGCACACTTTCTGCTGCACCTCATTGGTTGTCTTCATTCCCTCAGATCATTGGATCCCCAGACATCAGAAAAACAACACGTATTTAGCAAACAAAACAACATCCTGGGATAGTCCAGACTGGAGGCGACTCATTGCGAAACATTTTTCTCTTGTGGTTCCCTACCTAGGCTCTGCCTAGAAGGGTTCTTACTCTCTTTGCTTAAGGGGCCGGGCAGTGCTAACCGCCCCGGGCGGTTCCCCCAGGATCCGCCCCGCGGTTCCCCCAGTTACGTCCCCTCAGCTTAGCGTTGCTTATCTCATCTTAGCTTAGCTTATTTCATCTTAGCCTAGCTTAGCTTCATCTTAACTCAGGTGTATCTTAGCTTAGCTTACATTAATCTTAGCTTCGCTGAGCTTTAACATTGCATAGCACAGCATAACATAGCATAGCGTAGCATAGCATAGCGCAGCACATCATATCATAGCATAGCCCAGCGCCGCATAGCATAGCATAGCACATCATAGCATATCATAGCATAGCATATCATAGCGCAGCTGAGCATATCATAGCATAGCATGTCATAGGTTAGCACAGCATGACATAGCATATCTTAGCACAGCATAGCATAGCATAGCATAGCATAGCGCAGCATAGCATAGCACAGCATAGCATAGCATAGCATAGCATAGCGCAGCATAGCAGGGCATAGCATAACATAGCATAGCAACTAATGCTGCTTTCCTAGGGGCTCCAACTTCTAGGTAGGGTCGCACTGGGGTAATTTTCATTATTCTGCTCCGAAGGGGTTTCTGATTGAGAGCCGGAGGAGGAGGAAGAGGAGGAGGACAGGGAGGAAAAAATGGGGGCGGAGGATGATGATGAGGAAAAGGAGGAGCAGGAGGAGGAAGTGAAGGATAAGGGAATGGCTGAGGAGACGGCGAGGAGGAGGAAACGATGTTGCACTCGGGCGATTCCTCTGGGTCGTGCTTCGGCGCGTATCCACTGAGACGCACACGTCTATTCCCCTGTTGTCGTGTTTCGGCGCGTTCCTCTGGGTCGCCCTCCAGACAGCCCTTGCACGGCGTCTAGCATAATTGAGGATATCATCGCGGTGGGATTTGCATGTATCTAGGCGTACATGATGACGATGACGACGACAGCGACGACGACGATCATGGATGCATATGGTGACGATGAGCGATGCGAATGGTCATGATGATGATACCATCATGGTGATTTGTTGCCATGATATCATGCTAATGGTCATGATGACGGTGGCGATGGTGATGACAATGATGGCAATGATGATATGATGACGGTGATGATGGTGATGACCAAGCTGAACATGATGATGGTGATGCTGGCGAGGATGAAGACGAGGAAAGACGATGATGACGATGTTTCTTTCGATACTGATGATGACGATGACGATGGTTCGGTGGTTGATGGTGATGTTGATGATGCTGTTCATGAGTTCATCAGCCATGTTGATGTCATTGATGGCCAACACGATGATTTTCGCGACTGCGTCGATGATGAGAAGAAGGATGCGGTGTTCGTGGCAGGAGCTTGTGCTGGTCGGGAGCCGCTGAATGAAGCGTCCATACCCCCCTCGTTAACTGAGGATGCTTTCCTTGGCTCTTGTCGATGTCACCGTTGCCGTCGTCACCTCCTGTTCCATTTCCCTCTTCCCTTCTGCGTCCGCCCGTTTGCCCTCCGATGGGGAGGGGGTGAGGCATCTTGGTCCCCCGCCTGTATCCAAGATGCGTTTGATCATGGCCAGGCGTCCGCATGCCTTATTCGAGAGCATATTTCGTGTGTGCTCACCGCGCGCCGTGGCGCAAGTGGCCGTGTGTAGTTTTGCGGAGACAAACGGGTCGCTGCATTTGGATTTAGGTCTTTGTGCTCCCCTGGCAACCCAGAGCCGAGCCCAGGCTTTCGAACCCGAGTCCCAAGTCGGTCAAGAATCGTTCATTTGTGGCCTCAGCGGACGTTGCTGTTGCCGCCCCCCCCTTCTCCAGTTGGCGCGAAGACCTGTTGGCGCCTTAGAGCCCTAGCCCCCCCTAGAGCCTTGCAATCGCATCCGATGAGTGGGTTGACAGTGCCGGATCATTCGGCCCATGTCCGCGCGTTATTCACAGCACGTCCCCTAGCTTGATTGATTGCTCTTGTCCCGGTGGATGTGGAACCGTCTGGCGTCTTCTCGGATGTCCTCTGTCCTCCTTCCCCCTCTTCACGCAGTCGGCCATGGCCACGTCTGGAAGGGGGGCGGCATGCGAACGTTTTGCTCGAGGGGTGCGTCCCCAACTTGCCGCGTGTAACACCGCGGTGTTCGAGGGCAGCGCGGCGAGCCTCGCCTGTGCGCCAGGTGCCCCGCCCCCCCCCACTCGCGGCGCTAGCTGCGCGCGCCGCCTCTCGAGCTACCTCTCGCGGTTCGGCCTTCCCTATCCACAGATTGTTGTTGTAAAAGGGCAGGTTGGTCATTCCCGCCCATCGCGGGTAGCGCATGGGAATGCGAGATGGCCTCCCGGTCGAATGTGCCGCTTCCATATTAACAGGAGTGTGAGTGCTTTGTCATTGCCAGGTATGCTGGTCATATGGTGTCAATGCATGTCCCACAGCGTGCGCATCGTGTCATCATGTCATATGATTCATGTATGGATGTTCACTTTACCTTGGTGCTCACATGTTAGTTTGAAAATTGTATATATTTTCAAGACGTTATATGCTCTTATATGGTTGTCTTATGTTTCTGTGTTTACATGTTTTATGTTATGGTTTTTTGAATGTTCTTCCCAATATCCAGACCATGGGGTGATTGTTATTACTGTGACCGCGCGGACCATCCTCTTTCACCTCTTCCTCCCTTCTCCTCATGTTAAGTTATGTTTTGACATGGCCTGCTATGGTATGTTATGGTTTATGCTATGTTATGGTGTGGCATGTTATGTTATGTGATGGTATGGTATGGTATGGTATGGTCTGGTCTGGTATGGTATGTTATGGTATGGTATGTGATGCTTGATTAATTTATGCCATGGTATGTTATGCTATGTTATGCTAAGTTATGTTACGTTGTGTTGTGGTATGCATCAGGCGGTTTGTTGTCTTTCACGCTTCCAAGGGGGGGGACGCCAGGGATATCTCAGGGCCTCCGTTCGCGCCAAAATGGTGGGGATGTCTCGAGCGGCTTGCCTGTTTACCAGCTCGACATCCTCCGCTTTCGGAGCAGATTTGGAGGATGTCTTGAGCGAGGCGTGCATTTTCGCGCAAGATTTTGAGGATGTCTCGATCAGTTTGCCTGTTGTAAGGGGGGTCTGCCAGGGGTATCTCACGGCCTCCGTTCGCGCCAAAATGGCGGGGATGTCTCGAGCGGTTTGCATGTTTACCAGCTCGACATCCTCCGCTTCCGGAGCAAATTTGGACGATGTCTCGAGCGAGGCGTTTATGTTCGCCCCCAAGTGGGGCCAGATTTTGAGGATGTCTCGATCGGTTTGCCTATTGGAAGGGGGGGCTGCCAGGGGTATCTCACGGCCTCCGTTCGCGCCAAAATGGCGGGAATGTTTCGAGCGGTTTGCATGCTTGCCAGCTCAACATCCTCCGCTTCCGGAGCAGATTTGGAGGATGTCTTGAGCGAAGCGTTCATTTTCGCCTCCAAGCGGTGCCAGACTTTCATGATGTCTCGATCGGTTTGCCTATTGGAAGGGTGGCCCCATAGGGAGGTCCACCGAAAGCGGCAACCACCACGCGGTATTCACATCTGCATATGGTTGGGCCTTCCGCCAAGATAATTTTAGGCCGCTGGATGTCTGGGTCGTCATCGTCGGCGGCGACGACGACGATACGTCCCCGTTGCCCAGCGAGGCTTCCTCGGGGTGCAGCGCGTGGCAGCTGTGTTTCCTTGTCGTCCGTAGCCGTGTTTTCTCAAGGCTTTCCTAGGTGGTGTGCCTCTTCTGGCCCCCCGTGCCCAAGGCCGCAGGCTATACGAGGAGCGCCTGGGCTTCAATACCATAAGTGTACAATGTCCGTTTCTCGCCAATCTCTGGTTGAAGCCCCTGAGGATGTTGAAGCCTTTCTGTCGAGTATTGGTTTAGCAAGCTATGCCGCTTCTTTCTTACGGAGCGGGTACGACTCGATGACCGTGGTGAGAGCCATGAGTGATGACGACTTGAAGCGGTGTGGCTTGAAGCCGGGCCATTGCCTGAGGCTAAAGCTTGCACTCACGCATACTGAAAATGCTGGGAGAGGAACGCCGGATCTGACAGCACCACCCGGACGGGCGCAGCCATCTGGCGGGAGATGGGGCTCGGCGTCTTCCACAACGCCTCCATCTGAACAGGTCAGGCACACTGGCGCGGAGGGCCGACCTGGGG